AGATAAGGAGTTTTGACTTCAATAGATAAATGGTTACTCTGTAACAGTATTGAAAACGGACACAACTAGGCAACCAGAATTTTCAGAAGCAGATTGGCAGTGGCAGCCTTCATATTTTTCTAAATATACATTTCTGTTATCGAACAGTCAGGTATTATAGAGAGCAAGGGTATAAAAAGCAGCTATAGAGGTCAGTTTCCATTGCACTTAATGTCCGAATCATGGGGCCTGAACCTGGGGCAATAATACTCTAGAGCACGGATATCGGACAAGTCTCCAGTCCACTGAGTGGTGACATTCATCTCATATGCTGGCTTTGATTAACATGTTCCACATCATCATGAGCCTGCTACCTGCATCTCACAGGTACATTTCTGCTGTCTTTCAAATATTTACTCTCTCCTTCATATCTGTCTCTTTAAATTGGACCTAACTTTACAATTTAGATGAACTTTGACTGTTTAAGAAAAACAAAATGTGTAGAAATTGTATGGAGTGCTTTACTCATTGACTTTCATATCAGGAGCCAAAATGTAGACTATTAGAGCCATAACTGTTTTCTCTGAGAAATCAGAAGTCTTCAGGGTGTAACAACCATACTACAGGGACACACAGATGGAACCAGCGCCCACTAAAACTGGCTATTAAATGATTTTAGAGGTAGGTTATTTCTGTTTTCTTACAGCATGACTGAATTGGAATGTGTCTGCATCATTTCCCTAAATAATGATATTCTAGCTCTGTTTAGTTGGAAAAGTAACATGTTTTCACCGTGGATTTCTAGAAACCCCTGCAACCAGTAATAAATGTTATAGTGCAGCTGTACAGAAGGTAAGTCCAGTTTTTACCAGCTTAGCCTGAAGCTTCTTAATTCTATTCTTGCTGTATGTAAACTTCTATTAGATACCACTACTAAAAGACTTTCTTTGTCCTAAACTAAATATGTAGCCCATCTTCCAACAAAATAAAATAGTCGCCAAAATGTAAATATTCCAAGGAAAATAGGATAGTAAGACAAAGTCAGGAGACTACAGGTCATGCTGCCTCTTCATTGAAGGTGACCAATCATGGTATTTTTCAGAGGCTACAGGTACAACCAAAAATTCATAATCTGTGGATAAAATGATACTGCATTCTAGAATACTACATACTGGAAATGTAAGAATCCAGTGACAATGCACATTTAAGATATGGACAGACATAATAGCCAAGTTAGTGGTGTGACTTTTTGCCACTGCACTTAAACTGGAACTGCACTGCATCTAGGCACCACAAACCAAAAATGCTATTTAATTCATTTTTAATATTCAAAGCAAACTCACTCATCCATTCATGTCTCCATGCTTTATTTCTTAGGGAATAATGGGCAGCACAGTGGCTAAATGGTTAGCACTTCTGCCTGGCAGTACTAGGGTCATTGGTTTGAATCCCAACCACAGCACCACCTGCCTGGAGTTTGCATGTTCTCCCTGTGCCTGCGTGGGTTTCCTCTGGGTACTCTGGTTTCCTCCAACACCACTGGTAGGTTAATTGGAATCCTGTCTAAATTGGCCCTAGTATGTGTATATATGAATGTAAGTTAGGGACCTTAGATTTTAAACCCCTTGAGGGTTATGGACTTATGTGAATGTACAATATATATATAAAGCCTGCATAAATTGACAGAGCTATATAAGTACTAATAATAATAAATCATTTTAAAAACACATCCCCTGTCATCATTTACTTCCTGGAATCCATCTGCCCTTAGCTCAGGCAAACGCTGAGCTGTTAACCCTCCCTCCCCTCCTGAAGACTGCTGGGATGTATGACATCATTTGTCTAGGCATGGAAACCAGGAAGTATCTGAAGAAATGTAAAACAAACGTTTAAAACAAGTAAATATAATATACTTTCCTATCTATTTACTATTGCTAGCAGCATAAGGATTAAAAATAGTCCATGTTGATTGAGAGAAGTTCCGCTATATGGACCAAGCTTTTTCTAGCACTTTTTGTTCACATGTAACAATCAGGTTCTTTTTGCTAGAAAATTACTTAGAACTCCCCAAACATGATATATTTTTTTTAAAGCAGAGGCTCTAGAGAATAAATTGGCGGGGGGGTTTTATCACACGGTATTTAAATTTTAATGCAAAAAAAACACAATACATAACCATTTTTTTCTCTAAAATATAAAAGGTGATGTTATGCCAAGTAAATAAATATCAAACGTCACGTTTTAAAATTGCGCAAGCCCGTGCAAAGGAGACAAACAATGCAAAGTTTACTATCCATAGGCAACACTTTAAAAGCCTTTACAGGTTACCACTTTAGATTTACAGAGGAGGTCTGATACTATAATTACTGCCTATGATTTGACTTCACAGCAATACCTCACATGTGTGGGACAATCGCTGTTTGCATGTGTGCAAGGCCAATGCGTGCGTTTGCCTTTGTGCACAAGCATGGGGGGACGGGGGCACTTTCTTTTTATTTTACACTGTCACTTTAAAAAAAGTTTTTTTCGATCACTTTTATTGCTGTCACAAACAATGTAAACATCCTTTGTGACAGCAATAGACCTGTGACAGGTACTCTTTATGGAGGGATCTGGGGTTAATAAGACTCCAAATCCCTCATCTGCCCTTAAAAGCATTTATTCACACCAAGATCAGTGTGGTTGAATGCTTTTATTTTTTAAAAATGACTACGATAATTTCTGAGTAAACCAGAAGTGATGTCAGGTCATCGCTTCCAGTTTACAATTTAAAAAGATATCCCTTCCCACTGTTTGTAATTGCTATTACAGGCACCATCGGCATCATCCTGGTACAACCACTTGAAGACGGGTGGCGTACCAGGTTCGGGTCCGGTGACTGGTCAGTAAGTGGTGATCACCTCCCTGTCCCCAGCCTGTGACTTGACAATAAAGATGTCATCTGTCTTTCCTCTTGTTCTCTATGTGTGCTCCTTGTCAGCACATGTATATGCAGCATATCCTATGACCAGAGAGCTGACCCTCCAGATCCCATACTAAGTTCTGTTGTATAGTGGACTACAAGAATCAGATGAAAGATTTAGGTACTCACCTGAGTTGCATATAAAAATATATTTAAAGATTTTCCATTGAATACATAACTGCATTAAAGCGATATTAAACCCAAAACTAAAAAATATAATATATTGCAATTTACCAGTCATTAGATCTGGTGGCTGCATCAGTTTTTTTGGCTTTTTCCCTTCTGTTTTCACCTGGTGATCTGGCCAGTAACACACCTCCTGTATTAGTGAGACACAACTCTGGAGGAATGAGCACAGAATAAACAGCAGATAGCAACATTGTCAGTCTTGGGGGAGAGGTGTGTTTAAATGTATTAGCAGATTTGAATACAGTAACTAATTGAAACCCCAGCTCAGACTTTGTAATCAGTTTATAGCAAAAGTTATTTTTTTTCCTTTTGGGATAAAGGTTTTACACAAAAAAATGCTGATCAGCTTGTTCACCCCTGTCACTGGTAAATGGTTGGTCCCATCCATGTAAAATGATACATTCTGCTGGAGAACTTAAGCTTCTAAAAAATAGCAGACCTGCTGGTTAGATTACCTTATGAGATTAGAAGAAAGAAAGCCTAAAAAAGGAAACTAATACAGCCTCACAGCTAAGAATTTGTAATCTGCAATATATGAAATGTTTACTTTTGGGTTTAATACTGCTTTAATGATGCATTTTTTATGTTCCTGGAGTTTATCTTTAGGACCATCTTTAGACAATATAGAGGTGTGTTTCTTCCAAACAATCCAGTGTGATATTTTTATTTTCAGTAAATATTTTGTTACTGCAGGAGTAGATCCTACTTCTTAGGCACATATAAATCAAAGTTGCAGTATATGCAGTGCAAAAAAAGCACACTTTTAGTAAATCTTGGTAAGTAAATTTGTTTTTAAGCATTGTATATATTAATGAACTTAATGGCACAACGTGAAAGAGTTAAAAAAAAAACGTCACAAGAGACCTGACAAAAATATATTCATCATCTTGCTTGAGCCAGCCACAGCTGCTCCCTGTCAGACTGGTGTAATGAAGGATATTTCCATCACATTCAGGGTCCCTAGAGTCATTACTTAGGGAGGCTGAGGAGCCACAGAAACATTGCCTGGGGGTGCAGGGGGATTGCCAAGATGCGTAACACTTCATTGAGTGCTCACTGATCCCCCCCTAGAATCATGTACATACAAGCAGACCTCCCACCCATCACAAGACACACATACTCCCTATGAAATAAAAATCACTTAGGTATGACTAATTGATCCAGGAGACCTAACAGACTCAAATAAAACCATGTCTGAGAAGCATCATTAAGACTGTTGCTGAAACAATCATTAAAAAAAATCAGCTTACAAATATCTCTTTGTAAAGTTTTAAAATAAATTGTCCTTAATGTAATAAAGCATTTGAAAATAAGATGAAATTCTGGCCTTAAAGAACAACTATCGTAAAATATTGTATTCTGATAATTGCATCGGGTCAGTACATGGAATAAAAGGATTTAGTACATACATTCCGTTATTCTTATTTAACAGCCTCCCACCCGCCATATAAGGAAATGATGGGCGCAAGGCGGTTCTCTCATTCTGGGGGGACGTCATATGACTTCCTCCCACTCTAAGATGAAGATGTCGGCTCTGTCATGTGATCAGCTGTGTCCAATCACATCTGATAGCATATAAATAGGGAAATGCTGGTTATCGGCATTTCTCTCCTCACGAGCTGTCACGCTGACAACTCGAGAGGAGAGACGGTAATCGGCATTCCACAGAGGGGACATGTGCACTGATCATCAGGGCACTGATGAACAGTGTGCCCTGATGATCAGTGTAGCCCCATCAGTGCCACCTGTCAGTGTCTATCAATGCCACCTGCCAGTGCCCGTCAGAGCCACATCAATGCCACATATCAGTGCCTACCAGTGCACAACAATGCCACATATCAGTGTCCATCTGAGCTGCCTTTCAGTGTCACCTATCAGTGCCAGTCAGTGCCACCTATCAGTGCAGCCAACCAGTGCCACCTATCAGTGCCAGTCAGTGCCACCTATCAGTTCCAGTCAGTGCCGCCTATCAGTGCATATCAGTGCCGCCTATCAGTTTCGCCTAACAGTGCCAGTCAGTGCCACCTATCAGTGCTAGTGTCACCTACCAGTGCCTCCTCATCAGTGCCTATCAGTGCCGCCTATCAGTGCCCATCAGTGCAGCCTTTCAGTGCCCATCACTGTAGCCTCATTAGCACACATCAGTGAAGTAGAAAAATCACATATTTACAACATTTTATAACAGAAACTAACAAAAAACATTTTTTTTCAAAATGTTCAGTTGTTTTTGGTTTGTTTAGCAAAAAATAAAAAAACCAGAGGTGATTAAATACCATCAAACGAAAGCTCTATCTGGGTACAGTGTTTGCATGACCGCGCAAGTGTCATTCAAAGTGTGACAGCACTGAAAGTTGAAAATTGGCCTGGACAGGAAGGGGGTATAAGTGCCCTGTAGGAAAGTGATTAAGGTCTTTATTTATATTTTTACTCATATTACATGCAGATCAGACTGACCAGCAGAAGTGACAGTCACGAGGGTTGGAAAAAAGTATAAAACTACCAGGGATGCTTAAAGCAGCCTTTTTTATTCACTTAAATGTGAATAAAAATGTGAATTTTTTTTTAAATTCTATCTATCTATCTATCTATCTATCTATCTATCATCTATCTATCTACCCATCTATCTATCTATCTATCTATCTATCTATCTATCTATCTATCTATCTATCCATCTATCTATCTACCTATCATTATTCCCCTTATTGCCATAGCTGTTCATAGCTGTTATTAAAGGATAAGTTCATATTTTGTTAGAAAAAAAAGAAAAAAAGAAAATAATAATAATAATAATAAGAAAAAATAAATGCATTTTGCAAGAAAAAATGCATTTCTTTATACTGCAGCCTGTAAAGCATTGCAAACAGTGGATTGTGGGTGCAATGTGCAGACTCTCAGTATCGCTGTCTGCCCATACCTCCCATACAGGCAGTTACTGAATTTCAGGAACTATGAGAGTGCTCACTAGGACCGTTGCAGTTCATTGAGGTCTACAAGCCACTTGCCATAGTGACAGACATGATTTGTAGTTCATTAATTCACAGATTGCTATGAATGAATGTTGCGGCTGTGCCGTTCTCAAATTGTGACAGCAGGTACAGGGAGAGGATCCCATGCCCGCTATCACAGTGGAGGAATAAGAAGGGGGGGGGGGGGGAGCACAGTAACATGCTACATGTTACATCCAATACACTAGTGTAACATATAACATGTTACAAAAAGTGAACCTATCCTTTAAAGTTAGATAATAATCTTTAGTCAGAATGTCAGACAGGCCTAAAGGGAGAAGCAGAGGTTTTGCATTCTGAAGTATTAAGGGGCAAGCAGGTTCTGCAAGACAAAGTGGTGGTGGTCGGGCTGCATCATCTAGAGGCAAGGCCCATCTACCATTTCTGGGAGTGGTCGCCATAAAGCCATTGTGTCTTAAGGCCAAAAATGATGTAACTTTGTTATTATTTTATATAATATGCAGTATGGAGAACCACAATCACCTTATATACAAAAGCAAAATAAATTCAGCTTTGGTAATAACTACACACATTTTCACACATATAGATTCTTAAAAACCATTAGTATATTTAAATCCCTATGGACCAGCTCTCAAAATAGGAAAGAAAATCTGTAACAGACTTATATTTCGTAATCAAAGCATATCATATAATTCAGGCGCACAGACTTGGAGGGGGAAAATCTGTATAATAACATATGCGGCTTGGGAAAAAGGTACAATGAAAAGAATGAAAGAAAATAATTATTTTTGGTTTTGTTTAGGCCACTGTTTTAATATAAGGATACTACTTCATAGGCTCTAATATTACCCCTTTTTTCAAAGTGACTGAATTTTTTGCTGGCTCTACATAGCACAAAGTTATTAACACAAGGGCATAACTTCACATGTGTAATGGCATCGCTTAGTGTGTCTGTTAGCATGTAACTTTGAATCCACAGGTACACATAACAAGGAGACCACCTTTCATGGTACCTTTTTCCTACACTACATACGTTATTATACATAATGGAGAGGTTTTTTCAAATCTGTGCACTCAAATTATATGATATGTGCTTTGTTTGATTAATAAGTATAAGTCTGTTAATATTTTTTTCCTATTTTTGAGAGCTGGTCTATAGCAGTTTTTACATATTGACCATGGTTTTTAGAATTGTATGCATGCAATAAAATTAATATTTTTGGTATGAGAAGCAACCTAATTTTGTTTTTGTATATAAGGTGGTTTTGAGTGATTGACTACATTTTTAGGTACCTGGAACTTGGAACTCGGTACTTGTGGTCTGTTGAGTCCATCACTGAGAATTAGGGCTTGTTCACACTTGACTAAATTTCTAACTCTCACCAAATGCTCCTATAGCTTTAGTATGGGTGTTAGACAGGCGTTAATGAGCTTTAGTATGGACATTAGACTGGCTTTTTACAAGCATTAAAAATGTTCCCCAAACACCGTATATGCAATTTTGAAGTGTTTTATAAGCGTTTGACAAGCGTTAAAACCACACCACAAACTAAAGAAACTGTAATGTTATTAATGCTCCTGCAAACTCCTGCCAGCGCGTTTGAGGAGCTTCACCATAGACTTGAATGGGAGGCGTTGAAAGGCTTTAAACTTCTCCTGACTCGACATGATGCTTCAGTTTTGAAGCGACGCGATGCTAACGCTTTATGTTTTGATAATGTGAACAGGACTGTGTGCTGCCCATAGTATCATTTGCATGAGCATTTGTAGAGCTTTAAAAACACCCCTCAAATGCCTGCTTTCAATGCCAGTTTGAACTAGACCTAATACGCATTATACAGCTACAGCATATGGAGGCGGAAGTTGAGTGACTGACAAAGCATTTCTCTTCTTCGTCTTCTCAAGTGCAATAGTTGTCTGAAACTGCCGCTGATGATTCCTCCTCTTTCTCTTTTTCTGTTTATCCCGCCATAGCCCTGTAAACTGACATGGAGGATTCAGTGGAATTTTTTTCTTATATAACCAGTAACTCACTGCAGAGGCATGGTTTTGGTTATGAACAAGCAGGAGGGCAATGCTGAGGTCATGCTGAGAAGGAAGAGAGAACTAGGACCATAGAGGGAGGGAACAACAGGCAGGGAGCAGCAAGAGGCAGTGATGTTCCTGCAGCTGCAGCTTACTGCCAGGTGGACTCCAGCAATGATAGTGATAGGGAAGGAAGTTGCACAAGGAGCTTCAAAAGCATCAACCATAAAACAAACAGAGGGCACGCCAGCCTAGTGCTTTATTGCTTTATTCTCAAATGTCCTTTATTGTTAAAAATCAAGTATGTTTTCTACTCACAAACTAACATGTAGAAGCTCGTCAGAACAAATCCAGGTACAGGCCGCCAAGATTCCTATACACTATGTCTTTTCAGCACATCACATTGCACAGAGGGCCTACCCGTATACAAGTTTGGAAGGCTAACTCATTTCGAGGGATTTGCCCTCTTCCTTTTAGAGCTGTGAGGGCCAAGGCCAAGCTGAAAGGTGCTTGTCCCCATGCCATCTTGTGACAGGCAAGGTTGTTTGTAATAATGACACTAGCCTGTTGGCTTCCCTTTGCAGGGATATTTTGCATATACTTAGCCTGGCACATATATTCAACCTGGTAGTGCAGAGTAATATCCTGGTTTCTAGGAGGTCTGGTGTCAATCCAGAAGAAATTGTGGGCCACTTTAAGTGGTCATACCCTACAAGTGTTTGCCTGGAAGAAATGCAATGCAAACGCAAGCTGTCTATGTGACACCACCACGTGCTGGAACTCGACACTGGCCATGCTGAAGAGGCTGCACTAGCAGCAAAGGGCCACCGATGAGTGTCTGTGTGAGTATGGTACAAGGACAGGCCCTGGGAAGCTAAGATTCTTTTCACCACATCAGTCACTCATTGTTTAGGATGCGCATAGCATCTTGGCACCTTTTGAAGAGGTGACCAGAATGGTGAGGTGTGATGAGACCAAAATTAGCAACATTATCCCTTTTGTATTCCTCCTAGAGCACACACTGCATGGTGCCAGACTCTGTACTGGAGGCACAGCAGCAGCGATAAGAAGAGGGCTTGCTGCTTGCTAAGGGCCAGCAGAATCATTTTCCTACTGCCTCCATCCCTGTAAGGCAGGAGAACCAAGAGGCAGAGGAACCATATGAAGAGAGTGCTCGTGGTCAGGAGGAGCAGGAAAAGGGTCTGGCTTCCACAAGGTCGCTTCACCCCTCCCAAATCCTGGGAGTTGTATGTGGGTAGGGTGATATCATTGGAGATATTGTCCTCAGCAACACTGATGACTTTGGGTCCACTGCTGAAGGTAATTTTTGGCAAAGGGGCTTTTTATTCTGAAATTCCTGCACAAGGAGTGCAAGATTTAAAAAAGAATAAAAGAGAAGGACCATTATTAGGTGGTCACCCTATTGTATCCTTCATACTAGAGGAAAATTAGCTATCTGCTGTCACCACCCCACAGGGGAGGGAGCACAAAACACAACACTTCAACAATGTACTGCAGAAGAACCTCTTGGCTACATTTCCTGATGTCGCCAACAACAAGATTGCTGATGACAAGGTGTTCATGGCCAGACACTCTTAGAAGTGAGGACCCCATGAATTATTGGAAGTCCAGGCTACACCACTGGCAGGAGCTTACCCAGTATGCTCTTGAACTTCTTGCTTGCCCTGCAGCAAGTGTAATCTCTTAGAGGGCTCTTAAAGAGCAGAAGGTTTTGCTTCAGAGAAGTGAATCTGTCTGTCCACTCATGCTGTGAACCAGCTCACTCACATAAAAACGAAGCAGTCTTGGATTAGTAATACAAAAGTATAATACTGCTGAAACTGCCAACTATATTTTTTAGTGTGATTTGGCTGTAAGAAAAAAATGGTTTCTACCACCAATACTAGCTCCTGTTACATCTATGAGCCTGCCATTATTACCAGCTCCTATCCCCTCTCTTGGCCTGCACCATTACCAGCTCCTGCCACCTCTCCTAGCCTTTTCCAGTGCTATGGGATTGTAAATCTGCCACACGTAATGTTTATACAGGATGTCTCGAATTTACAAGCCAACCTCAATGCACTGTTTAATTGGGAAAATTAAGTTTAATGTTGATAAAAGTAATGCACTTGGGGGATAAGAATATGCATGCATCATACATTCTAGGGGGAGTACAACTGGGGGAATCAATGGTGGAGAAGGACTCGGGAGTTTCCAAAGCAAGAAAAATCTTCTCTTGTATTAAAAGAGGTATGGACTGCTGAGAGAGAGAGAGA